CCTTAAGAGAGCGCCCAGAGGTCCACCCTCTCGTTGCAATTCGGTACTTGGAGTCATTCATTGGTGAAACGGGCAACATACGCTTTTAAGTCTTAGCCTGATTTTTGCTTGACAAACGAGAGGTTGGCTTTCGTACGCCTGTTGATGCAAGAGTGGTGGAACTGGTCAACGAACTTGCTAGCCAAGTCTTGGTAGCTTCCAACCGAGTTTCTAGGGAGGTTCTGGAACCATTGCCGAGTAGGTCCAATAAGGGTTCTGGCGAAGTCTCGGCACTGCTCGGCATCGTTGTACCTTACATGGCACATGGCGTCGTGGTATCTCGTATTTGTTGATGCGAGGCCCTTTAAGCCCCTTTGGCAGTTCCACGGCTACGATACTGGCTGTGAATGCCTCTTGGGCGATCTTCGATGATTCGTACTGCATGGTGGGCCCTGTCCCTCATTCTCCTCACTGAGTGCTCACTCGGTTGAAGATTTCCTCCTTTACCAGGTCCAACTCTTTCTGCCCGATTCTAGCTTCGGATCCACTGACCTACTCGATGTTTCAGTACGAGTTGGAGAGTCATCATTGGAGCTGGTCACTCCGCACTTGGAGAGACTTCTTTTGGGCTTATCCCGAAGGTCCTTTGGCTCTTCAAGGACCCCAAGAGACCCAAAAGTATCCTTGTTTCCGAGGCCTCCATGAGATGGGGCCCGAGGCTCCCTTTTAGTAGCTACCCTTTCGACTGTGCTCCCATTGGAGTAGAGGAAGGTTCCGCGAGTTCGATCGCTTAGGACCACCTGGATCAGTCTCCCATTTGGGAGGTAAGTTGGACATTAGCTGCCTGCATCTCGCTGCAAAACCCAACACTTTTGCGATGGGGGTGCCCCACCTTCTGCTTGCCTAGATGGCTGATTGGGCGAAGGGTCTTGACAGCATCCCGGGTTCCCATTGCTTTTCGTGGCACAGGGGGAGTCGAGGCAGACTTATCAACGGGGTTGTTATGCCGACGCTCCTCATCGATGGTATTCTCGTAGGATAACTACTTGTCGGAGGCCATTCTGATGATATCTTAGTGCAGATAACTAGTTTTCATTCTGGCTTGAAAACGTCGTTCCCACAGACGGTGCCAATTATTGACAACAAATTCTGATTGAGTACCACGTGTCCCTTGGACGAACAGTCTAGCCGGAGAACAAGGGAGCCTATAACCAAAGAACTCTACGCGCCGGTGTAGTGTCCCGACTAAGTGTGAGTAACAAGTTTTTTCACTTACTTGGTGAGGGTGAGGGTCATTTCTTTTATAGCCTTAGACGTCTGACCAGGAAGGACAACAGTTAGAGGTGACAGGGACACACCGTGCAATATAGGGAGAATCGTGGAGCACGCCTCCGACAGCTGTAGGGTGGCTCTTCCTCCTGCAGCTCAGAGCTTGTTGCCTGCAGCTGCAGGGCCTAGCCGCGCGTACCAGTAATGTCCACCTCCTACTATGGTTACATACGGTGTCTAGTTGTCCATGGTCCCTCATCCCCTAATGAGCGGGCACGTATCTTGCTCGACACAGCTGGCTTATCGGGGGGCATCTTTATGTGGTCCCATATACTTTACAGGTAGACAGTCATCTTGCTCGGGTTTTTACCTCCTATTGTATGTATATATATGTATGTATTGACCGTCGAGATCAACGTACTTTAATACATGTATTGAGTTACATTTTGATTATTGAGTTGCATTTTGTTATTTTCATGTATTGACCTCTTAATACAAATATTCTCCCTCATAATGTGAAACAATGAGCTGGTAGACTAAAAACATACATTCTGTTATACATAGAAATCAATCGACTACAGACCGAGCAGGGCTCTACCTATAGCCAAGCCTGAGGATCGTTTTCCTTTAGTCGACATTTCCTTGTGGGCCTTGTCACGATGATCTAGGGCTCCACTATAGAAGGTTCTGGAACCATTCCCGCATCTATAAAGTAAGCGATGCAGTCTAACCCTAGGGGGTAGGTAATACACTGGAAATTCACCATTTCTCAACTCCCATTTGCTAACTTAGGCATCAGAGCCCGTGTGACTAAGGTCACACCGGTTTAGGTTGATTCGGTTTAGTAGGTTCCAGTTCCCTGATCAACGAGTTAGGTGTGAGCGAGAGGG